CTATATATAGTGAATGCAGGGTCCAGGGTTTAGTAACACTTTAATATCTAACATGATGCTTGAAGTTATGCTTTTCTCTATAAAAAGGGAGAGAGATCCTGAATCATACTTCAATACACTGAGAATGTTTGTATAAAAGGTTTTCTGGATTTCCCCATCTGCATATTCCTTGCAAGTCAGTAATTCATGAAGTACTGAAAACAAATCAGTATACCAACCAATCAACTAGCATTTTCAAAGTCAGAAATGGCAGCCCCACAATGCTGCTATGACAGGTTTACTTTTAAAGCTGTGGGCAGCACAATGGCTAAATAATTAGAACTTTCACCTGGTAGCACTAGGGTTGTTGGTTTGAATCTCACCCATGGCACCACCTGCCTGGAATTTGCATGTTCTCTCCCTGTGTCTGCATGGGTTTTCTCCCGCACTCCAAAGACATGCTGGTAATTTAATTGGCACTTTAAATTGGTCCTAGTATGTGTATGTATGAAAGTGACTTAGGGACCTTCGATTGTATGCTCCTTGAGTGTTAGGGATTGATGTGAATACACAATATATATATGTAAAGCTCAGTGTAAATTGACGGTTCTGTATGAGTACCTGTAATAACTAAAGTTGACATGTCAGGATAGAAATTTAGAGGCTGCCATTGCTGGCTTGCTTTTGAAGTGTAGGATCCAAGGCTGTAATGCTGATTATTGCTTTGCTGCTCAGTAAGCCATTGATTACGGGCAAGCGAGCAGAGCAATACTAGGATACCTACTTGTTCTAAAACAGTGACCCACCAAGTAATGAAGGAAGCATAATAGCCTTGGAACACACACCTTCAAAAACAAGTCGGCAATGGCAATGCCCATATATCTGTTGTGACTGGATCCTATTAACAGTAAACCCTACAATTTTACAATCAGGCAGTTATAACTGAATGATGTCAATGTAGTATCACATTTGTGAAACAATGCTAGCTAGTCAAGTCACAGTCAATCATTACCTCGCTCAGCACCAGAGTGACTGTGACCACCCATGTCTGACACATATTTTATAACCGACATCAGAGTTTGTGGTCAATCCCTTACTAGAGTTGCTTGCATTCCTTGGTTGCTCCCACGCAGCTGTCGTCCAATCACAGGAGTCGTTCCAGTGTGCACGTCTTTTTGGTTCAGCTGATAAGAGACCCAGTCAGAGACAGAGACACATCTTTCCTCCCCCAAACAACACCTGTGTTTCAAAGTGATAAGCAACCCCGTCTGTGTAATCATACCCAGAACACAAAAAATGTCATCAATTCCAATATATATATATATATATATATATATCTCACACACACACATACATATATATACATAATATATATATATAAAAGCAGAATATTACATACATATGTAGTACTGGGTTATTACTATATTTAAAACTGTGTATATGTAAGATGACACACTTCTCAGCATTGCATTTCCGATACCCCTGATCAGGGGCGGACTGACAACTCATGGGGCCCCCGGGCAATAGGGGATCACGGGGCCCCTGTGTCCTTGCCCAAACTCAAAAAAGCCTATGAAAAAGGTACCAGGGGCATCTCATGGGGCCCCCTACCGACCCTGGGCCCTCGGGCAGTGCCCGAGTTTCCCAATGGTCAGTCCGCCCCTGCCCCTGATATAAACTTGTACTGAGAAAATATGGAGGCTGCTATTGCTGACCTTACCTTCTAAAAATGCTAGAAGCCTGGCCATCAGGCCATCATGACGATACCTGCGATTTTAATGCTTTCTATGGCATTGATGTTGATCATGCATGCAGGTCAGAATTTCTTACTTCACAGTGACCCAAATGTAATAAAGTTAGAGACAGCCAGGCAACAAGTATTTTCAAAGGGAGATCAGCAATATTACCCCCTGTGTTGCTCTCAGTACAGGTTTACTTTAGGGCTTTTGTTATGTTAAGGGCTCATTCAGACTGGAGATTAAGCCTGTCCTCCCTGCAGAACCGTTGGCAGATACGTGTGGACTGCAGACAGCCAATAGAAGTGTATGCACACATAGCGGCTGCATGGACACAATTGCATTTCAAAACTTGCCGTGGAGGCAGGACCCTGAATCCTGATCTGTGTGCCCGCTCATCAAACTGTGACATGTGACCAGGGGTTGACTGACTACTCATGAGGCCCCCGGGCAATAGGGGATCATGGGGCCCCTGCGTCCTTGCCCAAACTCAAAAAAGCCTGTTAAAAAGGTACCAGGGGCATCTCATGGGGCCCCCTACTGACCCCGGGCCCTCGGGCAGTGCCCGAGTTTTCAAATGGTCAGTCCGCCTCTTCATGTGACACATGGAGGACAAGCTTAATCACCTCTCTGAATGAGCCCTTAAATTTACTATGTTAAAGGAATCCTTTGCTGAGAGAAATACCATTCTTGCCCTGCTTCTGAAAATGCTAGCTGTCTGGCTGCCTCCAACCTGAGTACCTTCTGAGTCACAGACTATGTACCAGCATGCAGCAACTGAAGTTAGAACTCCTGATTTGCACACTTTTCTCCTGGTTAGTGAATCATAAATACCACATTCTTCACATTCTTCATATCAATATGACAGCCAGGCAATTAGGCAGCTGGTGACCCATGGCAGCTGCCATATTTTGTCATTACAAGTTTCTTTCAAGGCCATTAATGAAAACTTGGAGAAGAATTTCCATCATGTGGGAAAGCCATGTGGCTGTATATAAACTAAGCACAGCTTGCGAATACTGTGCAAACAATGCAATGCCCAAATGGCTTATTCGTATATGCCAGCAGTTCAGTAAATCTGCAGTCACAGCTTAACGTGGGGATGGGTTTTTACACTTTTTTTTATCCCTAGGGAAGGAACATGTAGATGATGACTGCAGCCGAGAGGTTTTTTTTTTTTTTTTACACCGTACCCACATTACACCAAAACACTGAGACTGACGAGAGCATACTGCTAGGTGGGAGGTGTATGAAGAAAAAATCTCAGTGAGACTACATACCGGGATCTGTATCCCTTTAAAATGGACCTCAGATATATTTTTGTAAATGTCTACATGTTGAATAATTTGTAGATTTAACAAATACAAGTATTTATTACCTCTCAAATATATTACAGTACATCCCCAGAAAATGCCTTCATTATAGCTCCAAGGAGCAGGGCTCTCCCATCCCTCTTTTATTGATCTGTATTGTTGCTGCATCGTCTCCCGTTATATTGTAAAACGCTGAGCAAACTGTTGGCGCTATATAAATCCTGTATAATAATAATAATTATTCCTTCCACCCCCCCCCCCCAAAGGCAGTTGCCATTCTTAATCAAAAATCATACAAGGTCAGTATACCCATTACATTGTTTTCCAAGTGGACGTTTCTCAAGCAGCTCTTGTCTCCATACAGATAGATCTTATATCTGATATTTAAAGCAGTATTAAACCCAAAAGCTAACATTATTATATTGTAGCTTACCAGTTCTTAGATGTGATGGCTGCATTGGTTTGCTTTTTTTCCACCTGCTGATTTGGCCAGTAAGTCTGTTGTTTTTTAACAAAACAAGCTCTCTTCCAGATATATCAGTTTACATGATTGAGGCAAACCATTTACCCCTGACAGGTGTGCTTACAATAAGCAGTTTAATTTATTTATGTAAAACCTTTATCCCAAAAAGGAAAAAAAAATGCTGTAAATGCATAATAAGTTCCAGTTTGTTAGTGTATTTAAATCTGCTAGTCCATCTAACACTCCCCTCCCCCAGACTGATAATACTGTTGTGCAAGGTACCCCCTGTGCTCCTTCATCCAGAGTGTATGCACTCTAATACAGGAGGTGTGTTACTGGCCAGTTCACCAGGTGAAAACAGAAGGGAAAAGCCTACAAAAAATACAACTAATGCAGCCACCACATCTAAGGATTGGTAAGATGACATGCAAATTTGTGAAGCGTTCCATATTTTTCTTTTAAAGAAGTCTATCCTGCTTCTACCTAGTAACCCGCCATTTATTTCCTCCATCTGCTCTTCCCCCCACACAGCTATTACCTTTTGTATCACTCAACCCTTCCTCCTAGATCAGGGGTGTCAAACTGGCGGCCCTCCAGCTGTTACAAAACTACAAGTCCCATCATGCCTCTGCCTTTGGGAGTCATTCTTGTAACTGCCAGTCCTGCAATGCCTCATGGGACTTGTAGTTTGGTAACAGCTGGAGGGCCTCCAGTTTGACACCCGTGTATAGATTGTAAGCTCTAAGGAGCAGGGCCCTCTGTTTCCTCTTGTAGCAAATTGTATTGTAACTGTAATGTCTACCTTAATTTTGTAAAGCGCTGCGCAAACTGTTGGCGCTATATAAATCCTGTATAATAATAATAATAAGCTGCAATATATTACATTTTTGGTCTTGGGTTTAATATTACTTTAAATAAGGACTATTGCTATTTGCTGTCATGTTTGTTTTATTATGAATGTCTAACCTGGGGGAGCTAGAAACATATAGTTTATTTCCTCCCAGCAGTAAAAATTTGAAGCTGTAGAATTTATTAAAAATTAGTTTACATTTTTCCCTTTTTTCCCTAGTGCTAAAGCTAAATGGTAATCAAGCACCTGACACCCTCAAATGTTCGGTCAGTGCCCACTCCCTCAGCTATGTTGTGAACAATTTAAACCTAGGAAAGTAAGTGTATTTTATAATAAGCTGTAGCATATGACAACCTATGTTCTCCTTTATCAAATAAGAAAATAAGTACATGGCGGCAGTGAGGCTGAAGTACTTACCCGAGATTCACACTATTGCGGGCCATGCAGCCCTCGTTTGCTCGGGCATGGCAGCCCATTCATTTGAATGGATTGCTGTGCCCCTGTTTCCCACAGAAAAAAAGTGCATGCACCTTTTTAAAAGTACGGCCGCAGGGAAACCACATGATCTTTTTGACCATGTGATTTCCCTGCAGTTCCCATACCTGCAAACATGCTGTGGGCTGAGATGTGTGCGGGTGCCATTCAGAATGAATGGCAGCTCCGCTTGTCTTTTTTTTTGCCTTCCTCTGGATCAACTGTGGGTGTAGGATTATAACTTTTTTTTTTTCTATGGTTGAACTGGATGGACTTTTGTCTTTTTTCAGCCAAACCAGGGGCAGACTGACCATTGGGGAACTCGGGCACTGCCCGAGGGCCCAGGTCAGTAGGGGGACCCATGAGATGTCCATGGTACCTTTCATAGGCTTTTTTGGGTGTGATTTGAGTGTGGGCGAGGACACAGGGGCCCATGATCCCCTATTGCCCGGGGGCCCCATGAGATGTCAGTCCGCCCCTGAGCCAGAATAACTATGTAACTATGTAAAAGAAGCACGATTTGGCTGCAGGTGGTTGCGGGTGCAGAAACAGTTGAGATTCCTGTACCTGCAACCAGCCTGCAGACTGCAGGCAGCTGTGAACCTAGCCCCTAAGGCCCCTTGCACACTGATGGTCCGATCAGGCCTGCCTGACAGTTTTTCAGGTGCACCAGACCATCCATAGCTCTCTATGGAGCAGCAGGTGTCAGCGGACACCCGCTGGCATCCAATCCGATCCTGTATGCTAAAAACAGACAGGTGGGGATACATTCCCCATTCGTCTGGAGGATCAAAAGTAATGGACAGGCAATCTGTTTCCATCTGAACACCCCATAGAAAACAGTGGCTGTGTCTGTGTCTGCTCTGCATCAGTGGAGTGATCACAGACCTGTCATCCACTTGCTCAGCGGAAATCAGCAGAGAGATCCCCCACTGAGCAAGTGGATCCCGTGACAGGTCACCCCATCTGAAAGGGGCCTTAAGGAGTTAAGAGTCATCACACAATAAATTGTATAAATTGTCTCATCAATAATGTGAAAAGCAAATTCCTGTATACTTATTTCATCTGCACGATTGGATAATTGAAGGGACTGTTCACACAATTTATTGTGTGAAGATTCTCAGCTTATTTAATAAATCAGCCCAATTGCCTGTTTATCCCTAAAACTGCCTGTGCACAACAAAGTCCAGCAGTGTTTACAGCTGTAGCCATAGCTTGGCATTAGCAACAGGCAGAAAATTACTCTTTATATACTGCTTCATGCACACTACAGAAGACTTGTGCAAGCCAGGAAGTCTGAAGCATGAAAACATCTATTTTTTCACTGTAAAGCTTCATTTACACTTGCAATGCTCTCTGAAGAGCGATCTGTGTCCTGATCTCTCTTCAGAGAGCATTTGACCTGCGGTGAGGAGACATTTGTATTGCCTCCTCGCTGCCTGTTAAATGCTGGACAACCATACACTCTTAGATTTCTTTATCCTCATGGGCTGAACAAGAGAAATTTATCAATTCCCTGATCCATGCTAAACAGCGTGGATTGATGAATCTCCAACTGCCAGCTGATTGGCTGCAGTCACTGTCCAGTTGCCAATTTTCTGCCTGGTCTCAGACCGAAGGATGTCAGGTGCAGTGGTGCCAACATGGTCACACATGGCTCAGCTTTTGTCTGGTTCACCAGGAACTGGCTATGTACGGTCAACTTAAAGCCAGACATAGATCGCTCAAAACTGGCCTGGTTTAGCAGGGACTGGCCGAGATTCGTTGTTTGGGCAGGTTGGGTGATCGATCAACGTCAGTACAACCAACCTGCTTGATTTTTGGCATGCGATTACTGCCAGCTGCTATTACTGCTAGTGCTCTCCTGGCGATGAAGGCTCCCCATGCTCCTCACCAAACACAAGGGAGTCCCCTATCAACTCTGACTGTGTTTATGAGGGAATCAAGCAACTTTCTTTCCTTCCACCCATGGCTGAAGGAAAGAAAATTGCATAATGTATGGTTAGCCTGAGGGGTTTTTTATTGTGTGGGAGTTACAATGGAAGTTGACTATACATTATACAATCTGATTGTGCATTCTCTGTACAACCTTTGATAGATTATGAAATCTACTGTATGCAATGTGAGGGCTCGCCTAAGCAATCCATTCAATTTGTATCATATTAGACAATCCTGTGCAATACAACGTTCTTGGCAGATCTAAAGGAGATTGTACAACCAGATTGTAGAAGCTTTAGTAGTGTTTTCCAACTCTGAAGTGCACTTTCAGTGAGAGGATCTCAAAGTATCACTGGTAATCTGAATATTCAGTGCAGTCCCCAGCAAGCTGCCCCTGCAAGCAATACAGAAAATAATGCCCCTCCTTTCCCCAGCAAAATGTCATACTCACGAGTGGGGGATTTATGTGAAAGGGTGATGTTGGCATTACACATATTTGAAGAACATAAACAGTGATATTTGGCATTCTTGCACCTTGGAATACAGACCTCAGACCTGCACACAGCATGTGATGGAAAGCAGCCTGTAAAAAAGGACAAACATGACACTTCAAACATACAATGCTGAATAAAGCACTAATGTGAAGTCAAAGTGGAACTCAAAGCAATAAGCTAAAAACAATTGAAATACACATTTTTAAACTGTTTTACATGCCATAAGATTCGTAATTCTGTTCAGCCAGCATTGTAAATCACATGTTCAACTACACTTCACAACTTCACAGGCAGGTACTAGGCAGTGATTATGCAGCCTGATGATCCTGAATAACAATCTGATGAGCAGACAGGGAAGCCAAGCAGCTGGAAATCTACAATAAACACCAGTCTGAAGTGGCATCACTCTTCTGGCCATGATATTTAGCAGGAGGATGTGAATCCCAAGACTGGCTGAAGAGAATTACAAATGATTTTACAGGTAAAAATATTTACATATCTGTATTTCAACTGTGTAAATACCATTTTGCATTTAGTTGAAAGAAGTAATAGACATGAAATGCATATTCTTATAATCTCTAAAATCTATAAATGAAGAGGAGACCAATAAGGGCTTTACAGTACAGTCCTTGGGATGGCTGGCGAGGGGACAGGTTGGCCATTCCTTGCGCAGTGACACTCTGGTGCTAAGTGCATGGCTCTTTATGTCTGGTCAGCCCCCACGCTGTCTGCCTTTAGGTGATCTTTGAAAACTCACTTACTCAGGGAGGCCTACCCCACCTCCACATAAGAACTGTACTTGAATCACCTCCAGCAGATCATCCCCCACCCAGGGGCGGACTGACCATTTGGGAACTCGGGCACTGCCCAAGGGCCCAGGGTCAGAAGGGGCCCCCTTAGATGCCCCTTGTAGGGGCATAGGCTTTTTTTGGGTGTGGTTTGAGTGTGGGCAAGGACACAGGGGCCCCATGATCCCCTATTGCCTGGGGGCCCCATGAGTTGTCAATCCGCCCCAGCCCCCACCTATCACCTTTTGTATCACCTCCCCCTTCCTTTAGATTGTAAGCTCCATGAGCAGGGCCCTCCTAATCCTTCTGTACTGAAATGTATTGTAACTGTACTGTCTCCCTTATATTGTAAAGTGCTGCACAAACTGTTGGCACTATATAAATCCTGTATAATAATATCACACAAGGAAACAGTTGCAACCAAAAATCCCTCTAATAAAAAAAAAAAATGAACTCAAGCCAATAAAAGGGCATACAAAATATCAGTTCCAGGGGCTTGGATTGTAGTGTTTGATCTTAAGTAGCATTTCAAGTAGCAGATAACAAAGTTCCCAGCTTCAGTAACTATTAGTCCATTGTTATTTTTGGTGATTGTGTCATTTTAGTGATTCATAACTGCATACACATGTTACATAGCTTGCTACAATAGCAACTTTGTAATCATCTTAAAACTGCCAGAGATCACTTAGAAAGATCTGTAGCTTCTACAAATCAGTTCTTCAAAGTTGCTTGTGCAACGTAGCTCATAAGGCCGATTTACACTGAAGGGTCCTTTCACGCAGGCGACTGATCAGGTCCACCTGTCCATTTTTCATAAGCAGACCATGCACTGTCCTCGCTGAAGAAGCAGATGTCCGTTTACACTTGCCTGCATCCAAACTGATCCTATTCGTTAATAACAGATGGAAGGGGATCCATTCCCCATCCGTCTGGCGGATCAGATCGGATGACAGTCGGATGTAAACAGACAGGTGGTTCATTTACATCTGACTCCTCCATAGAGAACAGAGAACTGTGTCCATGCCCGTTCTGTACAAGCGAAGCAGACACGAACCTGTCATCAGTGGACTGATCCCCCTCTGAGCAGGCAGATCCACTTGACAGAGTCTGCCCAAGTGAAAGGGCCCTAAGCGTTCCATTGGGGTGTGTTAATGCGCACATTAATCTGCGTTATGGTATGCATTAATGTGCATTGTTCCTGTTCATTATGAAAGGCCTGAAAGTGATAATGAATGAAACATGCGTTGTATATATTAGAGAGCACTGTTGTGTGTTGGGCTCTACTGTACAATAAATTAGGGTGTCATTCACAATAAATGGCACCACACTGCATTGTGCACAGAGCAGGTACCTTGTCAGGCGTTGTGGCAGTGTGTGTTAATGTGCATGTTGCCACAAAATACAAGTGTGAATGGGCCCTGGAAATATATGTCAAGGTAAAAAAAAACATGCAGTGTGTCCCTGCAATACATGTACATTTTCTTGTGTTTTATCCCTTTAAAAACCCTGCAAGTGTGAAAATATGATCTGTCAGAGGTACACTCAGCTCCTAAGTCCTATTGTGGGCTGACAACACACAGCATTTTTTGGAGTGAATGGTGTCAGCCCTGTCAAATGTTTTCTGCGGATTACCAAACCACGCTCCTTTTTCTCTTCTTCATAGCATTAGTACTAATTGATCTGTAGTCTCAAGGTAAGTTGTGGGAAGGGTACATAGTCTCCCTGAGATAACATAGGAAGTATGTGCAGGACCCAGGACCGCTCTGAATTTCTCACAAGATCATTGTTAAAGTTTAGATAAGCACAGCCACAGCCATTTGTTTTTATCCATGGAGAAGGTAGGGATGAGTTGGAAATTCAATTGAGTTTTTGCTACATCCCTAATGGGGAGTTTTCCCTACTCTATACTCATTGGAACAGCAAGCAAGGAGAATCTCCCCATTGGGGACAAAGCAATAAAAACCGAAACAGAGTTTCTATCCTTCTCCTGCTCTATTCAAAGCTAAACAGATTCACTGGAGAAACTAAACTGAACTAGGTGCACTCACATTGGGCATGGTTGAACTGAAACGTGCCCGAGTTCAATTGTCCCCTCTTCCCACAACCCCTCCGGTCTGCACTCACACTGGGCTATAAGCAAGGGTTTCCTGGACACACTTATCATCATCTCTGCTAACCAGACCACAGTGATCACTGTTTCTGTGCTCAGTGATCTGTGGAAAGTTTTGTGCTCCAGCATGAAACTTGCACTCACACTGAAGTGAAGCATACTCAAGTGAACTGTACCCGAGACCACCTCTTCCAAGTGGTCCTGAGCATGCCTTGGGACACTCATGCTAAGCTACAGAAACGAACCAGTGGACCAAGGGGGCGAACCTTGCCTTGGCTTGGTTAAAAGTGCCAGTGTGAACGCACCCTCAAAAAGTTACATTTAAAGTGATTCTAAAGGCTAAATTAAAAAAAAATATATATTATATATATATATATATATATATATATATATATATCTACACTTACCTGCTCTGTGCAGTTGCTTTGCACAGAGTAGCCCGGTTCCTCCTCTTCTCAGGTCCCTGGCCGGTGCTTCTGGATCCTCCCTCATAGCGGGTGCAACCACAGTAGGCAGCTTGCTATGGTGGCACCTGAGCATGCGCAGTCCTCATCCGCTGCTCTGTGTGTCCATTCACACACGTAGCTGTGACTCGGCCATGCCCCCTCTGTCTCCTCATTGGCTCACTGGCTGCGATTGACAGCAGTGAGAGCCAATGGCTCTTGCTGTTGTCTCAGCCAATAATGATAGGGGTCCCGGGATAGTCGAGGCTCCAGTGCACATCGCTGGATCAAGAGGGGGCTTAGGTGAGTATTAGGGGGGGCTGCTGCACAGAAAAGGTTTTTTACCTTCATGTATAGCATGCATGAAGGTAAAAACCCTTGAGCCTTTACAACCAATTTTATTGGAAGAATTACTAATTATATTCACAGCTATGTTTTTAGCAGTACCCACATTCATACTATTACTGCACGACAATAGCACGAAAAAAATTTTGCACGATTATCGCACAGAAAATTGCACAGCAATCCTGGCAAAATCGTCCTGCATTTTTAGGTGCCATTGAAATGAATGGCACCTAATCATGCTGATGTGCAATTTTATATTTTAATAGCACGGTTTGAAATCGCGGGCAGAATCATGGTGATTCCTAAGGCCCTGTTCACATTTGAACCTTTTGTAGCTCGAAGCTCAAAAGCGCTCAACAAGCAAAATCCCATTCATTTGAATGGACCCTGTTCACATCAGAGCATTCTGTCTCTTGTAGCAAAATGCATATCACTTCAAAAAGTACAAAAAGCTACTATTTTACAGGCAGAATTGAGCGTTTTTCTCCTCATAGACGTCATTGGAAAGCAGGAAAAGCTTGATTTGAGTGTTTTTTCAGGAGTTTTTTTAGCCTATATTAACTGAATTTCTCCCCCAAGTGATTTCCATTGTGTAACACTACCCCCTTAGGAGTCTCTAGAGATTTGGTTCCCCCAATAGTCCTGCACAGCCAGGCAACACACATTTCCCTCATGACTTGCACTTCAGAGCCAGGAAACAGTCCTTGAACTTGTTTTTTTGGGGATTTTATTAGGAGATTTAAACTTGGATGGGGATGAGGAATTAATGGGATGTCCAAAGAACTGTTTAACTGAGGACAGCTTCCTGAAACTATATACAAGTGTTCAGAAGGGTTCTCTTCTTTCCTTGGAGAGCTAGCCAGTCTTTCCTGGTGTAGAAATCCCTGGACAAGGGGATCTAGAGTCTGACTCTCTAAAAAGCACAGTTCAGCTGGGGCTAGTCAAGTTTCCCACCCAAATGCCCTCTTCCCTATTCCTGTCCAGCGGAGGTTTAGAATTACTCATTGTCCCTCCTCTGTAGGCTGCAGGTCGGTAGCTGCTTTCAGTCCTTCTGCTGGGCTAGCTCCTTCCTTAGCTCTACAAATAGTCCTCTCTCAGAGGACTGGCTAGGTCCAGCTTTCCTTCTGTCTCCAGCTCTCCTGGAGGTAGGCATCTTCTCTGGGCCTCCTCCCAGGCTCCACTCTCCAACTTCTACCCTTACATCTTCCACCCGAACTTTCCTGCTGATGAGCAGGCTCAATCATTCCTAAGGGCTGTCCTGACCTCATGCCAAGCCTCCTGCTTGAGGATTCTAGAGATTTCTCCAAGTCTCTAGATCAGGGTGAGGCTTCAGGGAACTGATTTGGAGAGCCTCTCAGCCCTGATTCAAATGTGACCCTCTGACTATTGCACAGACTGCTTTTCAGCCTCTAACTAAAAGATGTCAAAGATTAATAAATGGATGGACTGTCTGGGACCATAAAAGACTAGAAGTTGGATAGATTTTTGCCAATCTAATTTCCCAAAAGGGCCACTACCTTAAAGGATACTGGGCAATAAACCATTTCTAACCCCTTCCTGGAGTTAATCCTGAACTGTAGGAATTGAATATGAATGTATGCCAATTCATTTTTGTCAGAAATAAAAACATCTTCTGAACTTTAGTGTATAGTTTCCCAGTATTCACTTTATAGGCTAAGAAGAAAGGTGTCAAAACCCCTTTCCAAACATCCTCTTTTCTCCAGAGTCCTCCTCTTAACCTCCAGGCCATCAGGCGGAAAAGCCAAGAAGTCAGATGAAACACAGGTAATTCTATAGAATACCTACCTATAGGAATACCTAGGGAGAACTGACTGCCAGAGACTTCAGAGCTGAGACCCAACTCCTTTTTGGAAACATGGGACTATCAAAATGACTTCTGCTTGGTCCTGGATGATCTTCCTGGTCACTAGGGGTAGCAAAGGTATTGGGGAAGCATAACCTAACCTGAACCCTCTCTTAAAGGCATTATAAATCTATCTACCTGTCTAAAATGTACAAAGGCTATGTAGATTCATGGTGTCATTTGTCGGTCTGTACTCACAGTCTTTAGTAGAAAGAAGCATATATCTTCAAGGGAAAAACCCTCAGGTAAGCAACCTGAGCAGGAACACAGGCACACCAGGACCTAGTAACCTGAGGGGAGCCAACAACCACAATTACCAGAGCAAGGGGAAGCAAACAAACATGATAAAGTATACTCCTGGATGGTCGGGAATGCAAAAAAACGGAGGATGAGGGGGTGGACTTTTTAATCTTTTTTGGTTTGTGTTTCTGGCTG